CATCGTGATGGGAGACGAATCATGGTTCTACGTCCATGAGACCGAAACAAAACAGCAATCCTTATAACCACGACATTGCACCCAATGACTTTTTCTTATTCTCAAACATTAAGAAAAAAATTAAGCGTTTTTCTACGCCCTTAGAAGCTGTCCTGTGTGATAAAAACCAGAGTGAAAAAACTTTTGAAAATTGAACATCAACAATAAAACCATTTTCACTGATTAACCACATTTTATCGGTAAAAAGTAGTTGAAGAAAGATAACTTGTGTCTGTCTTTAGTTCGATGAGAAAATTTTTGATAAAAAAGAATTTAAGGCGAATATTATTAGAAACATAACATAAGAAATAAAGTTAGCCGTACTGGTTCTGGCCAATCATATATATCATATATCATCGTATATATATAATGGGATAAAAAATATTAGATAAATTCGATCTTTGGAAATCTATAAAAATTTCAGTTTCCAGTTAACACTGGTGTTGTTAACTTATAGCAGACCCACTACAAATTGAATAGTTAGCATTATTTTCTTATTTTGATTTCCGGATAATATCATTTCTACATTTTTTTAAAATTAATAATTTGAATTTACTTCAATTTACTATAGAATGCCTGAACAAAGACATAGACATTGGGGATGTAGATGTTAAAAATGTCATTAAAAGTTTCGATTTCAAAGATTAAGCCCGACGCAGATTTTTGTTGAAAAGTATTAAACTTTTACCACTGCTAGTAAACTTATTTCCAACATTTTTTCCCGAACCAATAATTTTCCCATTAAACATTTCTTTTATTTTTAGAAAATCTGTACAACTAATGACTATATAATATCATATCGCCATACAGCAACTGATCATTTATGATTTTATGAAAATATATTTATTTTATTATTTAGCTGGTTTACCGTTATTGGTGCAGCGATCTATTGCTCGTCAAATACAATTATGCCATGTTATTGGAAAGGGTCGCTTCGGTGAGGTATACCGTGGACGTTGGCGTGGTGAAAATGTTGCAGTCAAAATATTTTCTAGTCGTGAGGAATGTTCATGGTTCCGAGAAGCAGAAATCTATCAAACCGTTATGTTAAGGCATGAAAATATATTAGGTTTTATTGCGGCAGATAATAAAGGTCAGAAATAAATAATTAGGTTTTTGCGAAATGTGAAAGTTTCTAAATATGTATTTGTAGATAATGGTACGTGGACGCAGCTATGGCTAGTAACTGATTATCATGAAAATGGGTCGTTATTCGATTATCTTACAACGCATATTGTTGATACAAAAACAATGCTTAATATGGTACTTTCAATTGCTACTGGTTTAGCACACTTGCATATGGATATTGTAGGTACACGAGGAAAGCCAGCCATAGCACATCGTGACTTGAAGTCTAAAAATATATTAGTAAAGTCAAATTTAAGTTGTGCTATTGGAGATTTGGGTTTAGCTGTACGTCACGTTGAAAAAAATGATTCGGTTGATATTCCTTCAACTCATCGTGTGGGCACGAAAAGATATATGGCACCCGAAGTACTAGATGAAAGTATGAGCGCACAACATTTTGATTCATACAAACGTGCTGATGTATATGCTTTTGGGTTAATATTATGGGAGATAGCACGTCGTTGCAATAGTGGAATGATGTATGATGAATATCAATTACCATATTATGATGTGGTGCAACCTGACCCAAGTATTGAGGAAATGAGAAAGGTAATACTGCATTGAAAATTCACTGCATTCGAATAATAATGTTTATTTAATATTTTATATTAGGTTGTATGTGGTGATAAAATGCGACCTAGTATACCAAATCGTTGGCACACTTCTGACGTGCTTCACAGCATGGCCAAAGTAATGAAAGAGTGTTGGTATCCAAATCCTGTTGCGAGGTTAACAGCACTTAGAATTAAAAAAACATTGGCTAGTATAACAGTAGAGGACAAAATTAAACACTGAACATTTTATTAAAATGTTTTATTGTTTGTAATAAACTGACCCATAAAATAAATATAAATACTATTTCACTTATGCATTTGCGTTGGATCGGATATAATTATGCATACAGTTTTTATATTGTTTTAATTAAAAATAATTTTTTCATTACTTGAAATAAGTAAATAAGAGATAAATACATTTTATTGATTATTTTATAAAAAATATATAGACCTTTTAAATTATAAATTCAATAACCCATGTGCAATTAAATATCTTTTTCAATAGTTGCAACTAGTTGATTTTGCGATAGCCCCCAAAGTTTTTGTTTTTACTCAATTTACCATTACTGGAATGCAATGGTAATGTAATGTATTAAATTCATAAACATTTTGGAATGTTCACCTATATACGTATAATATTCATAAAAAAAGTGCTTTGACTCTATGTACAATTACACATAATGTTAATACAAAATTATAATGGAGTTAAAGTTAACTTATGGAGATTTATTCGCGATGTATAGCATTGGTTGTTCCAAATGTACAAGTTTTTTTCTAACACATTGAATATGTAGATAAAAATAAATGTTACCCGAAAATGTTTCAACATATTTTAAAAACAGTTTTAATAATTTCTTTATTATATAAAATTATTGAATTAATTATATAAATTAGTTTTATGAAATGGTAGTTAAATTAGTTTTAAAAACAAAGAACATTTAAAACACTAAAATTATATAAAAATTGACCATGCAAAATTTCGTATCTCATTTAAACTTAAATGTTTATATTACACATTATTTATATTTATGCTGTATTAATGTCTTATATATAAAATGATATACATTTTTAAATTAAATGTTAAAGTTGTATATAAAAAAGCTAGAACTCAATTGATCAATATTTCATTTAACATTTTATAAAATAAGTTAATTAAATAAGGTTTAAGTATGTAAACTTTATATATCTTATAAATGCTTAAGGATTAAGATAAAATTTGTCCACCTTATTCAACAGTTGAAGGTACCATTGTATAAAATTTTTGTTTTATTTTAAAAATTTTAACTGAGCTAAATTGTTTAATATTGACCTCATCATAAATATAAAATAAATAACAAAAAAAAAAAGAAATAGATTATTTGAAGACTTTTCAAAGACTGATAAACAGCAAGACCACTTTCCAATATATAAAAAATTTGTCAATGTAATACTGCTAAACCTTCCAAAATCTGTATTTTGAAACATATTTTTACAATGTTTTACATAATTTTATATTCACAGAAACAGTTTTCCTATCATATGCCATACACTAGAATAATATATAAAAAATGTTCAGTTCGTGACACAAAATAATCGTAAAATATATGAAAAATATATAAAATGAAAAGCATTTAAGTAGAATTTGTTCCAATCGATTATTAAATTATGTTTTAATAAATGATTTTGTTTATAAGCACAGAAGCTAAGGTTTTGTGTTTTTAAAAGTTACTATAATAAATATTTTATTCCAGGCTTATGCGAAATTTACAACAAAAAAAAATATTTGAATATATTTAATATGTTAGAATTTTATTTAAAATTATTGTATATATTTCTGTAAGAGTAAAAATATAAGTAAACACATATTTGCTTTTTGTTTAGTTACCTTAATTTAATGAAAATAAAAAATGACAAATTTTTAAAATATGTTTATTAATTAATTTTTTATTTTTAATTATATAAAATATTGATTAAATAAAACATTATAGTTTGAAGTTTAAGTGTTTGAGTATTTTAAACTCATATTTGGGGTCAGGGTCTTAAAGCATTTTATTATTTTAATTAGCAAATAAATAAAATAAAACTGCTTATAAGCAATAATGCACGGTTAGGGCATATTCAAAAAATAATCAGAAATCTGTGGGTGATTATTGTGATATTATTTATTATAGTGTGTATGAGTGTATTACAAATCCAACTTTTTATTTTATTTTGACTTTTTATTGATAAAATGTGTATAATCTATGAAGCTCTACTGCAAAACAATGCAATTAAAATGGTTTGACGCGGTCTATGTATTATACATTTTCAAGTTTTCCTTCAAAAAAAATTGCAAAATCAGTTGAAAGCATATTTTTCAAGAAAAAGTATTTCACAGATATATAACCGTTATGTTCAAGTTGAAAAAAAGAGTAAAATTTTGTGTTTTGTAATTTGTTATATAAATTCTATATTTTTTAGAAATAATATAAAATAAAAAATCTGGTGAAGTAAATATTCTGCACTAGGGCTTATTTCTATATGTATTATCGGCAATTTCGTCTACTTTCTGGATCCAATAAAATGACTTGTCCTGTTTGCCTCTAATTCTTTTGGTTTAAATAAAGGCTTAACACGAAATTGATACAATGAATCAATTTTTGTTAATCCATTTATTTTATTACAATCTGTCAGGTATAAATGACAATAAGAAATATTTAATAATATGAGTCGTAATAATAATTATTATGATCTGAAAAAAGAAAGGCGCATATGGACTATGCTCAGTGTCATATCCATATATACTTACAATTAAAATGTGTGATCTATTTATACATATGTAAAACGCCTCTCGACGTTTTTCTTCTCAGTCTTATAAAAGTATTGGAGGACACATCAGGTGTGTAACCAGCATATATATGTGATGAGCATTATTCTTCGTTATACACCAATTCATTCGTTATATACCAAGGTGCATTTGTGATTATTCGTAGTGTTGTTGATTGAAAACGTTGAATAATTCCCAGGTTTGTCTGCTGCAGTACCCCATAATTGGGCTCCATAATTTCATGTAGGTTTTAGTACAGTTTTGTATTAAGCAGCTTATTGTCGAGTGACACGGCTGAGGAACAAAATAAAGCATTATTTGGCAATATCTGAATGGGTAGACAGGTTTTACGGTAATCAGATTTTTCAGATTAAGCGAGTTAAAATATTTTAGAAATGACTTTATTTGGCGCTGTGTAAAATTGCTTTTTAAACGGTTCAATGGATCTATATCACCGTACCAAAAAATGTTGGTTTTAATCACATCTCATCACAAACAAATTTTACATCTAACACAACTTGTGTAGAACGATACACTTCATTTCAGTCGCTAGCTATTCTACTAGGTTGTACTAGAAAATAATTCCTAGGGTTAAAGGAAAAATTAAAACTACGGTCTCTCTGTCTCACTCTCCCTCTCTCTCTGAATATTGCACGGTTAATAAAAACGGAATAATATCCGTTTTTATAACGGATAAATACATATAATATTTAATGCAAAGCATCTAATGAAAATCAAGAGCCCTTTATCTGAGGACATAATGAAAATAAAAAAGAAGAAGAAGTATGAAAAATTCGCAATATTTAATTAATTGAGATATTATTTTTAAAGTGAAAACGCAAAAGTGAAGCAGAAATATTTATGTGGCAAATTGCAAGTAAGTCTCAAATTATGGTAGATGTAACAGGGTTCTTCCCTATAAGGATAAAGAATACAAATAAAGAATAATTAATTGATTTTTTATTGAATTTTTACTTAATCATATATTTTTTTATATTTAAATAAATTATTGGAATTGTGCTTAAAATAAATTCACTTACTCTTTCAACAATTTTTAAGTAAACTAAGAATTCGTTACACTTGTAAATTTTTCTACATTATTCTAAAATTGTTATCTAATATAAATAAATAAATAAATAAATAAATAATAATAATGACATATAGTATGCATTGTTAATGCTTCGAAATGCAAATAAATTCACAAGGTAATGAGCGAATGACAAAAATATTAATCAATCTCGTCATTTCGAATTGTACATATGATATAAAATAAATACATAATTATATAAATATTTTTAAGCCTAAAAATTCCTAGTATAAAATAAATAAATAACTTAAGTTATTAAATAATCGTACAATTTCAAATTCAGACTAAGTACTTTTCGCAATAATTTATACTAAATTAAAATTGTGCCATTCATATATATACGTAAATATATATAAGTAAATCTTCAGAGAAACGATTTGTAAAGCGATTTTAAATAGTTTATATAGAAATATAGAAAGAAGTAAAATAAAACTAAATTTATTAATTAAGAAAGGCGTTGTTGGCACGACTGGTACTGGTAGGTTAAAAAATGGTGCTTATTTAGGCAATATGACTGCAAAAAGCTTCCACAAATTTCAAATTTCAAAAATATACATTGGTGTTGGGCAATCATGAAGTAAGAATACTGGATTAATTAAATTTATTTTACACCAGTTATGCTTCTTAACCATGGCTTATAAAATGTGGTGCGCATGTACACTCCGGGTAGATATGGCGCCGCACATTTTATTCCATGCGAAACAGTGCCTGCCAATTCGTAGCGACCGTCCTGGCGTTGCAAAACTAGCGGTCCGCCACTATCACCCTATAAATTTAATTTATAAATAAAATTTTTAATTTTTTATTTTCTTTTCAAAAATCTTATTTTTGATAACTAATAAAGTTAATTTTAATTAAGAATTTATATCCTACCTCACACGAGTCTTTTTGTCCATTAGCATATCCAGCACACAAAAATGAACTTAAAATTTTCTTGTTATGACCGGCGGTATGGAACATCTCTTGGCAAACGCTATTTTCAATAATTGGAACCTATGTATTAATTAAAAAATAAATGAAATAACTGAGAAATGAACTACAGAATATGTATTAACCTGAACTTCTTGAAGAACAGATGGTACACCACCTCCATATTTTAATCGTCCCCAACCGGTAACAGTAGCCATACGTCCGGTAAAGTCAGCTTGGTCTGATGGCATACAAATGGGAACTAAAATTATAAAAATTTTTTTAATGCATTGGCAAGAAGATTTTTCATAATGTATTCATAAGTAGTATAGATGTCATGAGAACTGGTATGATGATATATATGATAAACAGCATATTGCTTAACTGAAATTCATGACCACTAATTATATCTTGGCTGTGGTTGTAATAATCAAGCAAGACTATCAGACAAGACTTTTATTGAAATTCAAGAAATTTAAATCAAGCATTAGAAAAACATAATTAACACATCCTGACCGAAGATTTTATCTAGCAAATAATGATCAAAAGTTGCTTGTTAACCGATCATTAGCTGAAATATGTATTTTCCAATAATAATAAAACCAATTCATATTGTGAACGTGAAAACCATCCACTGATATATTGAAGAATGCTATTTTAGAATCAGTAATACTGCATTTAATTTTGTGCATTAGATTCTGTGCCGGTGAAGCCATTAGATGACCTTATTGGCAATATCTACTACTATTTTTTTGTATTATTACTATTATAAATATGTATATACACATTTAAATTATTTCTTAATTATATATTAATATTCCATTAATAAAATAAATTGTTACTTGAGTTCTCCAAGTACAAAACAATAATAATAATTTGAAGACCTCAGAAAAATCTCATAGACAAGTTTTCATTTGCAAATATTTGATGTCACTTCTGCACTTAAGGTATTCAATTCCAACGAAACTCTGTTTGTATAACTACTAAAGTTAGAATATTCCCCAATTATTTCTTTAATTATTTCTTTAATTATTTATTTCTTTCTTTAATTTAATTTGTAGCTAAAAAACTGTGTCTAGTTTTCGTACAATTAACTTGCTAACAGTTCTACAGCATAAAAAATTGGTACCCACATTTCATACGATCTCAAATATAGCATTTAATATAGCCCTTAAGTGAGCCCTCAAGTTGCTGCAAATAATCATTAGAGAAAATGATTGGGTTTAGAAAAATTGTCCAACCAAGTGAATAGATGTGTGTTCTTTAAGCGATTTTCTTATGTATTCTCGTATATTTACTTGTAGTGTTGTGTAAAAAACTACAATATAAAATATTTATATTATATATACCTATATGAGTATCAAATTGTACTGCACTTTCTAGTTCCAATAACGCCAAATCATTTTCAAATGTTGCTGGATCATACTGCCTGTGGACAATCACTCGTTTCACATTTTTCGTCACTGCTCGTTTACTTTCTAAGTCGCCAGATATATCAAATTCACCCATGACGGCTACTAGAGAAGCAAGGAAGCTGTCGTGTATGATGACAAGAGGTAGAAAAGGAAAAAAGTGTGTGCAATATTAATTTATGTTGATAATTTTTAGATAAATAATTAGGTTACTTACCCTGGTTGACAATGTGCTGCAGTTATAACATATCGATTTGATATAAGAACACCGCCACATTTATTTTTCGTAAATAGCCCCAGCCATGTAGATTCGCGCACAAGAACTTGCCATGGATAAGCTCCAAATGAAGCACCTTTGCCGCCAACGATTCTGCCTGATTTTACATGTGGTCGAACGCCGCATTCTGTTGATGGGGATTGAAATGTGAGGTTAGGAGAAGGGAGAGCATAGTAACAGCATAGATGTGTATTGAAGGGTTAATAAGGTTTTTATTCAATAGAAATTGAAGAATTGAAAGGAGCGTTTAAAAGGAATAAATGGATATTGGTTAAAAGTTGTGTGTGATTTCGTTGATGCGACGCACTATGAAATTTTGTTATGCATTGGGTTACAGATATTTTAGTTTGTTAATTTTATCGGTTTAGGAAAAAGGATTTTTGGATTTTTGGATTCAAAATGATGTTAAAGTGTTTGTGAGTGATAAATTAAGAAGAAAAGAAACAGTTGTTTCGGATCTATGCATGGTAATTGAAAGGAATATATTATTATTTAAAACTTACGAATTTTACGTCCACCACTTCCGGAAGAACTAACGCTTTCATTTTGATCAATTTCATTTTCATTTGGATTAATGTCCTCTTCATCTTCTTCATCTACTAGTTCATCTTGCGCGGGTGCTAATGTTGTGGTGTATTTTTTAGTTGGTTTACCTGTGCTTGGCTTGCGTGTTGTTGTACGTCTAGTTACTGGTTTCCTTGTGGAAACTGTAGTTTTCTTATTTGGAGCTTTTGTTGACAGTCGTGTGACTGGTTTCTTTGTCGTTGACTTAGTTACTTTCGTCTTAACTGTTGTTACGCGGGTTGGTTGTTTTGTCGGTTTACGTGTATATGTCGTGGTGCCAACAGAAGAATGTATTGTGTCTGCCTGATATGTGGAAATTGGAACTGAGTTTCCTGGTGTTTCATCTATTAAATCAGCCAATGCATCAAAATTACCCTGAAGTGATTCCACTATTTTATGTACTAAAGTATTCATTTTGTCTTTAAGTACTCCATCTTCAACGAAAGCTGGTGTGGAAAGTTCAAGATCGCTTGTAACTGCACTTGAAGTTGCTGACATATTTAGATTTGGATTTCGTACTGGAGGGAAATTAATGAAATCATTTATTGATGTAGCTCCTTCTCCTGTTAGAGATAAGTCAGTTTTTTCGTCTGGTGTTTTGTATGGAGGATAATTAGGCGTGGGTTTATAATAACTAGAATATGATGGCCTATTATCAGATGTTATTACGTACATAGCTTCAGTGGTTGCTTGTGTAAATGGAGATTGAGCAATATTTTGAACTCCATAATATCCGGAATCGTCAAAATCATTTGAGGAAATCGGTGGAATGTTTACAAATTCTTGTGATGATATTTTATCATTTGGTTTTGGTGTTGTATTAAAATAAAATGAATTTAAATTGTTATGTATAGTATTGTTATGTTTCTGGATCCAAGTACTTGAGGTAACGGCGTAATTACCAGTGGGTTTCGGTGTAATTAAAACGGTTGGAACCGGTGGTCTAACAGTTGTGTGAACTTTTACAAAAACAGGTTTTTTGTAATCATTTTGTGGGCGTTGCGACACCACAGGCGTTTGCTGATATTGAGATTGAGAAGAGTAAATACTTGATAATTTATTATTAATATTCTGTTGGACATTATTTTGTACGAATGTATCTAATTTATCATCCGCAATGATCAATGGCGGTATTTCACTTTCGTGGTACTCAAACGTTGCTGGAGGACGTGGAGAAGTGGGTCCAGTTACATAACTTGTTGAAACGGGCTTGTTGGGAACTTTTGTTTTAAGCGGCTTTGACGTGTTTGGACGTTTTCCTACATGTATAATACTTGGTTCCTTTGAGACGTTATCATTATAATTTGCGGAAGAGGGCATTTTTATTATGCTTACTTGTTGATAATCTGATGTAGGTTGCGTGTTTAGTTTTATGTCTGTATTTGGTTTAACGTTTTCCTGAAAATATGTGTTTGTGGCGATTTTATCCTTATAGTTGTTATTATTGACTAGATGCTGTGGATTTTCGGAACTTGATTGTATTTGTACAGTTTCATAATTATACAAGTTTGATGGTTTATAAATTGGTTTATCATACGAATTTAATGGTTTGTTTGAAGTTGGCTTTTTAATATTTTGTGTTCCAATCGGAGAATAACTTTGATATGAACCTGAATTTTCCTCTTCATTTTCTTGATATTGAGACGGTGTTTTTGAGTTGTAATTTTGAACTGTTGGTTTTTGTAAATAGATCGTCTGATCATTTTGAATTGTCGGTGGTACAGTTAAAGGTACTTTTGTATTAAGCTGATAATTGTTTTCTGGAGATGAGGTTTGAAGAGATGACTGAACATATTTATTTTGAGAAGTTATTGGTCTTGGCGTAATTTTTTGATTTGTGGAACTGGGGCGTTTATTTATGAGTAAGTTCGGCTTATTTGTATTTTTTATCAAATTTGGAGTTGGGTTGGAAACGTACAAAGTGGTAGATTCATATTGGGGTTGTATTATTGTTGCAGTGGTGTCTGAAAGATAAGATAATGTTGTTGGTTTCGATGTTGTTTGCTTAGTAGCATAACTATCTTCATCGACATAACTAATGGTAGTGAATTTACCAGCATCTGAGCTTTGATGTAAGGAGCTTTGTTCATTTTGTTGGTATGTATTAGTTGTTTGAGTATACGTAGTGATTTGCGGCTGTTTTGAATTATTTTGTGGCACTACGCCGATATAAGATGCAATTGGATGTTGTACATTGTTGTTTGTCTGCAGTAAATTTGAATAAGTTGCGGCGGATTGGCTATATATTGGTTGAATCGTATTCGATGGGTTTGGTTTTTCTGAAGTAGTTGACGATTTTTGTGGACTTGTGTTACTTTGCTCATTTATATCAGCAGACAAATTGCCTTCTTCGTCAATATACGATACATCAACTGGATACGCTATTCCCAATGCAGGCATTTTATTGAATTCTGATGTTTGATGAACTGTGTCTGGAGCTGTAGCATCATTATATGTCATTTCAGGCATTGTATGGTCTTCCAATACTGAAGTCAGACCTACATCATATCCTGATAATGACGGAATTTGTTGTTTATCAGAATTTACTATTTTGTTCAAATTCAAGATTGTAGTTACTGGTTCCAAATAAGCTGGTACTGTAGAGGTTGGATAGCTTGGTTGATTTTTGATTGCATCAGTATCGGTGACTGATAATTTTTCACTTGTTGCTGGACGAAGTTTTGAATTGAGAGTAGATGTAAAATTTTTGGAATTATTATTTAAAATATAAGAATTTGTAACATCAGAAACATATGAAGGCGTTTGATTATTTACTATATTATAAGCTGGGCCATGGTTTGTGTTATTTAGTTGCAAAATTATAGACTCGATTGAGTCAACAGGAGTAGTAATTGAAGCACTGGTCGTTGGATTGCTGCCTGTACTGCTAAAGTCGGATTTATTTTTTTCTGTACTAAAATTAGTAGTTTGATATGGAGAACTGATAAAGACTGGAACCGGCTCGTATCCAGTAGAGAATTGCAAATCGTTTTCGATTAGAACAGTTTCAGCTCCAGGATGTGTAATATCACTATGAGTGAATTCTCCCGCATTTAAGTTAAGATGATTTTGGTGTGGAGAATTTGCTTGAGCATGATCATTATGAACAAATGCCGGTCTTACTTCCGTGTGCTGGGGATCTGGCTGCGGGGTAGTTCCTTGTTTGTGACTTAAGTGATCTGTTTTTTCATTTGTAAATAGATTTTGTGAAATATTGGGTGGAGTTTGACTAACGGCCATAGGTTCTTCGAATGAACTCGACTCTGAACTTGATTGATCATTAATGCCAAGACTTGATATTTTCATTGGTATTTCTGTAGTGAAAGTTATTTGATCATTTTCATGTCCAGGGGGTAATGTACTTAACACTTGCATTACAAAATCATCGTTTTGCACATGTGATGAAGGTGAAGATATTTTAACAGAATTTTTATTCACATGAATAGTCGGCGGCGGATTTTGAAGGCTATCTAAACTGGTCTCTTGTTTAGAACCATTTTCATTCTCAACACTACCCGATTGAATACTTTCTTGTAAGCTGAAATTGGTATTCTCATCAAGTTGCTGATGTGAACTTATAGAACTCTGCTGTTCATGCTGATTTTCATTAGAGTTTTGGTACGTATTACCAGTAGTGTCGGTGGTTAATATATTTTCCAAACTGCCGGTACCACTGCTTGTCATAGTATACTCTGGTCTCTGGGTTTCAGTTCTGATATCGGATACCGGTTTGTCATAAATATTTTCACTTAGTTGTTGATAAACTTTATTTAAATTTTCCTGCTCGTAAATATTTTGCTGTGAATTATCTAAGTCTGGGACGTGATAATTTGCAGAATTGTTTTTTTCAATATGTGTTACAATTGCAGTATTCGTTTGAGAATATTGAGGTTCATTTTGGTAACTTAGATTATTCAATTGATTTGAATCGTTTCCTTGTTCTTGTTCCTGTTCTTGTTGTGAAATGTCGTTATAGTTATCATAGGATGAAATTTTGTCATTATTTTTTATGGGATCTCGATGCGATTGATATTTAGTATTTTGCTCAGCTGATGAAGAATCATAAGAAGCAGAGTTTATTTTCTGATTATAGTCTGTTTTTTGCACATCATGAAGCAAATTGTCATTGTACGAATTGACAATCGTTGTTATTTGATAATTGTTTAGCTCATCGTTGTTATTTTTATTGTTTGTGTGTTCATTTTTCTGTAAATCAGTATAGGAGTTCTCTTGAGATTGCTGCAAGCTATCACTGTAGCTATCAACTGGCTGGCTTATATTATACTTGGGTAATTTCTCGTTCTCATATCGTTCATCGGCAAGATGCTCATTATTTATGTTTTCTCCATAATTTTCATAGGATTGTGCTGCAGCTGAATTGGATATTGTTTGCTGCAATTTATGCTGATGTTGATGATAGTAAGCGTTTTGAGCTTCATTGATTAATGTGTGTTCTACATCATTGGCACTGGGTATCTGACAACAGGCGCCAAAAAGAAATCCATCCATACAAGCACCAACAACTTCACCATTACGCTGTGCGCATTCATGATTAAACATGCAAATTTTGGGTCCGTCATAACGTGGATCAGTAGACGGTAGTGTTTTGGTTGCTCGGCAGTTTTTAGGTGTAATTCGGTACCCACCAAAAAGTTTTCTACTTTCTGTAAAGAAATAAAAATTAATTAATATAAGACATTATTTAATGAATTATAAATGAATAAAACTAAACAAATAAAAGGAAACAATTGATGAAGTTTTGGTGAAGAATTTATATTGCAATAATCATTTTCTTTTACATAAATTGACAATGTTGTTTTGATTTAAGAGATTTGAAACTGTTTTTTAATTCATATAGAAGGGAAATCATACAAAGTTGCTGTGAAAGAGTAATTAAAGAAGTGAAAGTTATTAATTGTTAATCAATTAAAAATTGGAAAATGGAAACTTCAACTTAATTATTTAACTTTATAATAAAATTTATAATTTCAGACTAATATTTCTAGCTTGTGGAGTTTTAATTATAAATTTTAAATTTGAATAAATAATATTGATTATAACTCTTCTTATCGGTTATGTTGACTAAAAATAGTTAAGTCAAATATAAAAAAATTGAATTTAAATATTTATACAACATATGACTGTGGTATTACCCTGAATTGGTCATTATATACGGCTATACTTCTATTAGGAATAACCGACATATTATTATATGTATTTAAATCTAATAAAGATCACAATAACAACGAATTGTTAAAAATGCTAATATTGTAATAAGAATTACTATAACAACATATTTAAGTTCCTTCGGCGATTCAGATCTAGAACGTTCAGAAAACATGAAATGAGTTAATAACTATTACGACAGAATAAAAGAAAAACAGAAAATTTATGATTGATAAATGATTAAAAAATTTCTGCAATGTGATCTAATTGGGAAAAAGGTATCACCGATAGTTTTATTATTAATCAATATGGAAGTTTTTCGAACTGTAGTGAACAACAACAAAATTTCATTTTATAAATATGGTATTTTAATTGATTGAATTTTTGGCTGTTTCGGGTATTACCAAATACCCATCATCAGTGGTCTTCAGAAATATTTCTTATACTCAATTATACGTAAATAATATTATGAGACTGCAAGTATCAGAATTCGAATTTGTTCCCTGCCAAATTTGAAGTTTAGAGTCAGCGCACCTTAACCAGCTGACTCAAAGCAATATTTAACTTTAATGTTCGCACATTTTTCTGGAGTTGTGTAAATTTGTTGTGAAAGTTTATTAACAAATTCACTTGCTGTATTTATATTAGAAAGAAATAATAACCCAGCTGTACAATAATAATTGAATTAGTTATATTTTTATTTTTAATTGTTAAATTTCGATACTATTTCTATAATAATCAATGAAATCGAAAATCACTTGCACTTACCTATATAGTGAATATTTCACGAGAGTTAATATGTAGTTTTAAATTTATTCATTGATTTGTTAATCGGCTAATTAAGATATAAATATAACCCCAATCTCCAGAATAAGTTCTTACTATAAAGCAAACCAAGATGACATTACTTAAATCACTTAAGAATAATAATTTAAGTATTCATTTGGGTAGATCTATGTGTGTCCATGCTTTAAGACTAAAGTGACTAAAAAAAATACGCTTTTATTTTCTTCATAATTTTCATTTTTCGTTTTTTTTTTCTTGTATAAAAAATTTAAACTGAAACTTAATACATTGTATCATAAATATGTTTGGAGCACGCCATACAAAATTTACATAGAGAGACAAATAAGTTGAATATTTAATATAAAGTATTTTTCGGTTGCGTCGACACCCACAACCTGTGTTCAAGAGGTCCAGAGTAACTGTCACTTTCACTATGATGAATTTTTAGAAGTAAAACAAAATTACAGTAATATTCAAAGCTCTTCAGACTCCGTTCTTTAAATTTTACTTTTTCAATTAAATTTGGGTAAATCGTTTTACGTAATGAAGACTTGCCACATAAAAGTAAATAATTGCTTGTTTAGGTTAATAATGTCAACGTCTATTTAATGATTTGAGTAGAAATTATTTTGGTATTCATGTTGCCCGAGTGGTTTTGGTTTTTCTCCGCTTATCCAAAAACAATTCCTCTAGCAATTAAAAAAAGATGACCACTTACAAAAGCGAAAGTATGACATTTTCATTTTATGGCTTTATCGTTTTAAACTTTTTCGTTTTTCTCGAACATTGTGCGGAGTAGTCCCCCTAACCCTAACCTTACTTTAAGTTCGTAGATGGTCTATGTACTGCAGTAAAATTCCACAGAGGTTTCGCATACTTGCAAATTCCAAATGAACTCCAAGTGAACGCTTCTACATGTTTCAGTTTTCAGTTGTTAGTTGTCAGTTTTCAGTTTTCAGTTTTGATTTGAAATGGTGAAAAATGAGGTGTCACGTACATATGTTGATACCGCAATGAGTATTTAATGCAAATTTCATTTGTTTTTATTTTGAATTTTGAATTATTTAAGATTTTGAAATGTTAATTACCACTAAGCCGAGTTTCTTAATTTCTTCTTTAGCTTTCACTTTTCTTTTGTTGGACTAACAACGAATGAATTTAAATGTTCAAGTTTTTAACTGAATCTTATAAGGTTTTAAACGATTTGCGATGATTTGAATATTAGAAACTCAGATGGCACTTGTGGATGTATTTACATATATTTGCAATCCAATTTGTAGTTTAGATGAGAATTGCACCCAAATAGTCGACTTCTTTATTTGTCGCTTTCTTTCAAATATATTACTATATCTAACACAAGTGCTTTACAGTTTCCTGGTAGCTATGGAAAATCACATGAATTTATATTCAAGGCAATACATTTGTCAAAGCAAAATCCATTTAATGCGATTAAATTTTTTAGGTAAAAAATAATATGCATTTTACAATATTTACAATATTTTTTCTGATCTGCACAGAAGAAACTAAATAACGAACTATTCGAAAATAAGACTTTCAATAATCACAGTAATAATCGCAACTATAGTTTTATTTGCTTTTCTTATAAAAAAATGCATGATCGAATATAAAATTTAATTCAATAAACCTTTCGATTAGATAATGAGAAGAGATAATTCAAATCAATTAATACCGCACTAGTTATGGAAACTTGTTTCATATGGAACTTCTGTCATCAGAGCAGATTAAGAACTCATCAGAGCAGATTAAAAGCTTTAAGGGGCTTTGTGTAATCAATAGTGAAACTAGTACAATAGGACTCTTCTGGCTCTTAATAATAATAAAATATCGTTGATCTAAAATATATAACCATATTCACATAAATAGTTGTTTGATTAGTTATCATATTTGTATAACATACGATAATCGTTTACAATGACCTCAGTGAAGGGGCGCTTGTACGAATAGAAATCGCTCTATATTTATTGTTGTAGTGGTTTTATAAATAAGAAAAACAGGTTCATCTACAAATACGATCCCGAAAAATGTTATCTTTGCAGTGATGTATTTAGAGATAAGAATTTAACGGTTAGAAGCCTAATGGCTATATAGTCTAACATAAATTTATTCAAAACAAGGTGAACAAGAAAGATTAATGGGTGATTTATTTACAAATGCGATACCGAAAAATGTAATCTTTGTAGGGGTGGGTTTAGAAGTACTACTTCAGCGGTTAAAAGTCCAATTGGTTTATACTCGTAATCTAAATTTATTTAAAATAAAGGAGTTTTGCTACGGATGGCTGTAATACTGATACTCATGCTCTTAAAACTGGTGCTAAGTCTTCTTATAATTAATTTAGTGGACTGAAAATAAACGTTGACTAAATATATTTTCTAGTATATATCTTCTTGAAACAATCCTGGCTACGCTTCTAATTGTTTCGTATGATGTGTGAACGATTTTAATTGTGCCTTAATACTTTATAACTGAAGGAAATTTAAGTTTAAGTGGTAAAAACTTCATAAAAGATATTAAAAATAACTATTCAAAAATTATATTTAGCCATAAAACGATTATTATCTCAAAATTTTATCTTATAATCTAATAAAATTTTAGTTGATTTCATTCAACTGACTTATTTGGTATTTAAATAATTATTTTATATCGGTTGATCCGTTTTGCATCCTTTTTGAGCAATTTAGAAATAAAGTTTATGCCATTTTCATATCTAGTTCAAATTTACACTAGATTTATAAATGGTATATATTACGTAAGCAGCAAAAATCTAGACATTTCAAACAAACTTAAAATAAAACTATGGAATAAAGATATAGAATACATTTTTAAGGCATAAGTTGTGGTAATCGAGCAAAGACACAGTTCACCGATCGTGAGTATTAAGTTTTATAATAGTATTTAAGGAAACTCCTTCATTATTACCTTTTTCTAATAAGAAACAATATTGCAAACACTCAAATCAATGTAACCCAAATTTTCTAAACAGATTGAGCACCTATGATTTTTATATTTGAACAAATCTTTTCAGTAGGGCTAATACTTCGAATAAAATGTTATTTTATTTATCTTAAAGAAAACATTTTAAAGTATCTATTTTCCGGGTGTGTATCTGAAATATCTAAGAACATATAACTAGGACATGACCTAACCTGACGTCACTTTATCTCTCCTCGCAAAGTTAAGTGAAGAACAAGCACTTTTACATAATTTTTCTTTTTATTATTACCTTTTGTAAATGATTTAAAAATATTATTTCTTCGAATTCTAGATTGTGGCGGCTCAAATACGTCTCTTCTTGAACCGTATAAGTAATTTCATGGACTTTTCAGTTTTCACTGTATCCTGGATTAAATGAATCTACAAACGAGATCACCAACAAACGAGAATGGCTATACTTTGAAAGACTAGTAACCATTGATTACTAGTCTAATCAGGTTGATTAGTAGCGAAATTAACCTGAGATGTGATCATGTTTGTGATGAAATTCCTCGGTTTTGAATTTCCATAAAGTGGCATTAGGATTAATAACGCAAAATAGAAACAGCTTGAAAATATTTGAAGCAATTTATGGTAGGCTCCTAACTTAAGTGTGAAATAAATAATAGCTACTATACACATTAAAGCAACACACAAATATTATATACATTAAACAAATCCGATGGGACTTGTATTCATATATCTGTTTTGACAGATA